AGGGCAAGTCCGCACCAGATCAACTTCCCTGATTCTCCCGAATTTTCGACCACGCACTTTCCAGCCTCTAGCATGTTCCATGTGAGTGGATTCCTAACCTTAGGCTTCGTCTGCGTATTGGCGTGGACCCTATCAATGGTCTTTAGCATGGCAAGGATCTGGAAATGCGAAGTGGGCAACTCCCAACCTGCGTGCATCTTATGGAAGTACTTGATGGCTGAGAGATACCCGTGGATAGTCTGACTCTGGTTCTTGTGACCGAAACACCGGCATGCCATGAACACCGACAGCTCACGCACCGCACTTTCCACCCCATCGCACTCGCGGACNCGTATTGGCGTGGACCCTATCAATGGTCTTCAGCATGGCAAGGATCTGGACATGCGAAGTGGGCGACTCCCAACCTGCGTGCATCTTATGGAAGTACTTGATGGCTGAGAGATACCCGTGGATAGTCTGACTCTGGTTCTTGTGACCGAAACACCGGCAAGCCATGAACACCGACAGCTCACGCACCGCACTTTCCACCCCATNCACGGGCCCGAACCCGCCCCTGCACGAGCCTCCTTCCACGTGTTCCACATCCTTTGATACACCTTGTTGGTACCACTTCCCAAAGACCCGAAGGTGAGTGCGTTGACCAACCGCTCCCCCTCGACGCTCGTGCCTCCCCGGCCATCCTTTCCCTGTGTTCCTGATATACAATCATCGGGTATACACAGCATGAGGACTGCGCACATTTCGAGGTTCCTTTCAAAGGTACGACAAGTTCCTGCCGAACCCATGGATAGCCCCGACTTGGCTTGAAGGGAGAACAGGAAAACTCGGTCGTCCAAACCAACTCTGCCTCCCCCGGCTATCCATTTCATCAAGGCGTCATGAAACAGTGAATGTGAGGCGTGTCCACCGCTCCAGCTTCTCGCTATCTCATTTCGTTTGATAATTCGTTGATCGTCCGGAACACAGAGCGGTGTCCAACCGCCCCCGCTGCCGTGTCAGATATTTTCTGTTCCTTGGACCATAATGTCCCATAACGAGTCGTCCAGACTCTCTTTTGGCAATTACTTATGTAGGATAATGCTGAGCAACGCTCGTCCCCCTTCTCCAATATCCTGCTGTGTCCACCCTGAATCTTTTGTGAGCATTTCTACATTGGCGGGNCCACGTGTTCCACATCCTTTGATACACCTTGTTGGTACCACTTCCCAAAGACCCGAAGGTGAGTGCGTTGACCAACCGCTCCCCCTCGACGCTCGTGCCTCCCCGGCCATCCTTTCCCTGTGTTCCTGATATACAATCATCGGGTATACACAGCATGAGGACTGCGCACATTTCGAGGTTCCTTTCAAAGGTACGACAAGTTCCTGCCGAACCCATGGATAGCCCCGACTTGGCTTGAAGGGAGAACAGGAAAACTCGGTCGTCCAAACCAACTCTGCCTCCCCCGGCTATCCATTTCATCAAGGCGTCATGAAACAGTGAATGTGAGGCGTGTCCACCGCTCCAGCTTCTCGCTATCTCATTTCGTTTGATAATTCGTTGATCGTCCGGAACACAGAGCGGTGTCCAACCGCCCCCGCTGCCGTGTCAGATATTTTCTGTTCCTTGGACCATAATGTCCCATACCGAGTCGTCCAGACTCTCTTTTGGCAATTACTTATGTAGGATAATGCTGAGCAACGCTCGTCCCCCTTCTCCAATATCCTGCTGTGTCCACCCTGAATCTTTTGTGAGCATTTCTACATTGGCGGGGATCTCGTTTTCTTCCCAACGTGAGATCCCGTCCGCGAGTGTGTTCTTTCGACCAGGGATGTGCTTGGCCACGTGGCACTAGCCGCAAGAAATTTCCGTCCTACCCATGAGTCTCACTATGAGGCTAGCGCGCCTGTCACGCAATCCTCGACACCTGTTAGTCCAACTGACGGTCGACACGTTGTCTCCACGCATCAACACCGACTGTCCTTCTTCTATAGGTCTGTCGTTCAAGATCATTTGGACTACCCACGCGGTCATGAACATGCCCGGTTCTAACAGATTGAACGTAATGTCTGCCGTCTCCTTCTCTTGCGCCCTGCGCTTGAGCTCCGCAGACAACGGTGATTCGATCGTGTACCTCCAGAAAGTCTTTAGTTCGGGACAGTAGCCGCCAATCGCTGTGAAGCTCGCGTCTGAGAGGTAAAGGCGTGAAGGTGCTCGTTTTACGTGGAGTAGGAACGATGCGCTGAGGGACTCCCCTCGAAGTGCCAGTGGCTGATTGAGGGTCCACTTCCAGAAGGCGATATCGCCTCGGAACTCTCTACCCAAGTCCACTAGTCGTCGTGACCGTGTGTGTCGACTGGCTTGCGTATGCAGACCCGAAAGGCGGAGCAGTTGCCACACGAAGTACCTACCAGCCCTGATAACATAAGTGAGATTCCACAGTTATCCTGCAATGCTGAGGACTTCTTGAACACTGGCCTTCTTCCTATCGTGGGGGCCAATCTGCCTCGAGTATGTTCCGAATCGCGCTTACCCGTTCGGGTTTAGTTGCAATTCTGCCAACATGCGTGTCTATGATGTACCCCAGGGCCTCTATANCGGAGCAGTTGCCACACGAAGTACCTACCAGCCCTGATAACATAAGTGAGATTCCACAGTTATCCTGCAATGCTGAGGACTTCTTGAACACTGGCCTTCTTCCTATCGTGGGGGCCAATCTGCCTCGAGTATGTTCCGAATCGCGCTTACCCGTTCGGGTTTAGTTGCAATTCTGCCAACATGCGTGTCTATGATGTACCCCAGGGCCTCTATAACCGTGTCCCAGTCAGTGCTCTTTTTCGGGGCGAGAATGGGGGTTTCTCCGACTTCTCCCTTGCCAAACAGTCTGACATGGTCTGACGCTAGCGAGGCGGAAGCAATGAGTGCCGATTGGTCAGTGGGGTCATGCTGTACCTTCGTGAGCAAGAAATCGTCAACGTAGACCCTGGCCAAGAAATCGGCCGCGGGTACCCCGCCTCTATGCGGTCTTACGCCTACCGACGATGGTATTGGGGTTGGGGTGCCTTTTTCCCAAGGAGGTTTTATTTTCACGTGGGACATCATTGCGATTCCTTCTGGTAGTAGTCTAGCGTTCGCGAGGGACGTGTTGCGGTGCGAGTGCTCTGCAGCGGAGGCTAACACACCCCACAATCCTCGTGACGCTGCCCAGCCAAAGGTCAGCCATAGGTCCGCCACAAGCACGTCTCCTATCACGTAGCAAAACTTGTGTGCATGATCTGGTGATATCCTCACATTTCTGAACGCAGAGGTGACATCAGCCTTGGCTGCGAGAATTCTCTTGTCGGGCCATCTTACTCGTAGGCTAGTGAGCTCCTCGAGGAAAGCTGGTAGTGCTTCGCCGCACAGGCACCGTGGAACTCCAGACATAATGGTATCTTTGTTGAGCCCACCTTTTGACCCCTTGCTAGTGCGTGGGTCAAAAGAGAAGTCGTTGATGATCCTCGCTTTTTTCCCTGGGACCGCTCCCGACGGGGCTACTCTGATCCCACGTACGTCCGACGCATTTGCCTTTCTCAGGACAATACACCTGTTACGCTTAACATCGTCGCATAAATTTTCCCACACTTGTGTTTGGTGATCGTCTACGCTACGGTGGTTGCCGTATGCCAAGGCTTTCCTAAGGTTTTGCTGCGAGTCTAGAGTGGGGGCCGGGGCTCTTTCACCGACTATCTCAATGAGGTCATCGGTACCCGGGAAGGCCTTCTCCTCTCCGAAATACTGCTTGACGTCGCTCACGTCCAACGGCGGTGACACCAGAGTGCCGCCGATTCCCTTCGCGACGNCAGGGTTCTTTCCCCGCCCCAAAGTGAGAAGTCGCTGAATTCGACCCGCAATCATGTCGCATTACTTTTGTGATGTCAGCGGCCCTCGCAGTGTCCGCCGCTAGTGCCCTACGTGCCAACAGTGCTTCCCCCGGGGTGTCCGCCCCCGGGAGAGCTTTTGACACGGTCATGGTATCCGCCAATTCCGTGTCGTTCCCGCGAATGGTGTCCGCCAATCGGGGGCTGTGTGACTGACAAATTCTTAAACAGGGTGTCCGCCCTGTGTATGTCCTTCTGCACACTACTGGTGTCCGCCAG